CTCTACAAGGCTAAAACACCCAGACAAGATTAAAATTTGCAAGTTATACAAACTGCATATAGATTCAGGCAACCTTGTAATTGCTGCACTAGAGACATTGAGATACCGTAGATGCCTGAGGTTGCCAAGTGATTCAGGAAGCACTGATACATTATCAGAAGGGTGTATAGATAGCACTCTAAGGCATTTGTATGTCAAGAATAGATTAGATATTACCTCAATACGGTCCATATACCAAATTGAAGTGCCGAGTGATACATGCAGGAAGGTATGCAACAACTGGGGGTCATGGATGGCCTCGAATCTCTGAAAGTAGTCTTCATCTTTTGCTGCTCTATATGAACAATGGCGAGTCCTTCTAGTAGTCTTGTTTGAATTGTCACCCACCAATTGGAAGCAAAATTCTCCGGATACAAATCTAGCTAAATCATTTATGAGGTCATGCATCGTGAATGATGATGAATGGAGACCTGATTGTTGAAAAAATGACCTTGACGCAAGATCGTGTAAATACTCTACACCCACCTCTTCCATCTCCTTATTCCCTTTATGCTGGATTAAAAAGCCCTCTGCCATCCATAAACGGACTAATTCATCCTTGTCAAATTTGTAACCCTTGGGAAATATGATAGGATACAATCAATGTGAATAAAAGAAAGAGACGAAAAAGAGATTAAATGGAAGAGAAAGGAAGAATTGATGATTGTATTGAAGAATTCAATGACAGAAACATAACCCAACAGCACTTATAGGGGCTGCGACCCTCCCAATAATCTCAACTGAGATCCCATTACAATAATGACCCCTTTCCCTCCCTCTCTCCTTCCCCACAATATATATATATGACTCAGTAAAAAGAAAAAGATAAAATCCTCTACCCAGCCAATCATGACCTGCAGTAGCACACCTCACACATGTCCTAACAGAATCGTACCAACACCATGACTCAATAACAGAAAGAGAAACATAAATGACACATCAGCAAAACATTCTGAAAATCTTCTTCTACACGTCTGGGCCTGAAGCTTTAGTTCTTGGGCTCTTATTCTTTCTGCTCTTAGCCTTTCTTCTTGTATACACTAGCAAGGGCCTAACAAAATATCGCGCAATAAGCAAAGCATTGCTTTAAATGCCATGGGAGATAATGATAACTCAATCTTAGAGCTGAAAGAACGTTATCGTTTGGTAACTCCCACAAATTACTTTTCAATATCTTCATCCACTCATTAACATGTCTTTTTGAGCGAAGAAGACCCCCAAGTGTTTTTGCAGCCAAAGGTAGACCATTGCACTTTCTTGCGATTTCTCTACCAATTACTTCCAGCTCCGAATGTGCATTGAAATTTCCGTTGTAAAATGCATGGCTTGTCAACACAAGCCAACAATCATCATCAGTTAATTGCTGCAGACGATGGGGTGGAAAACTAGACTTGATTAGTGCTATGTTTTCGTTGCGCGTTGTAACGACAATCTTACTTCCTTGTCTCACATACTTGAAAGGTTTCAGCAAAAAACTCCCATTTAGCATGATCATCACACCAAACATCATCTAAAACAAGCAAGACTTTGTTCCCTGTCAATTTCTTCTCTAACTCGCAATGAAGCTGATCCTCAGTCATCTATCTGATCACAATTCATTGAACTGACACCTTTAAGGATATCCCTTGTTACCTTGAGAACGTCCAATTCTTCTGAGACATAGACCCATGCCTTAACATCAAACAAGTCCCTCACACTTCTGTCATTGTACAAGTGCTGAGCAAGAGTCGTTTTACCGATCCCACCCATACCCACTACGGGTATCACATCTAGACGCCTGCCATGTGCACCTTCTGATAATAGCAGCTTCATTATGGCTTCCTTGTCAGCATCCCTACCATAAATACCAGATTCAGACAATAAAGAAGTTGTTAGTAGTTTTTGTGATGACGGTTTTGCTCCAATATGCTCCATCAGACCAAGTACATCCTTTTTTTCCACTAAATCCTGCAGAATCTGGATGATCTTTTCTAACTCTGGTTGCATCTCTCCCATCCCTTGTTTACATGGAACAAGAGAAGAGAGAAAGCTCCTCACCTGATCTGTGCAGGTATGAGTCTGAGGTTCAGCTTCCAACTTTGACTGTAAAGCTTTATAAGCAATCTCATCCAATATGTCATGAGCTTCATAGACAGCATCCTTGAGGTCATCCAGCCACTCTTTCACAGCTGAGTCGGTAATCTGCTTTGCTTCTGCATCGTTCAGAATTTTACTTACTGATCTCATGGTTGCCTTCAACTTCTTCAGCTGCCCATCGTCAAGCTTTCGGCCTCTGAAGAAGTCCCTAACATCCGGCGAGGCCAACTTGTCGACCAAAACCTCAATGACAGCAGAGAGAATAGACTCTCCTATCAACTCCAGAGCCATGCTTTCTCCTCTCCGCAAAGGGTGTGAAGTGAGAAGAGGAATCTGAAGAAAGGAAAAGCTAAGGGAACACAGAAGAAGAAATAGAACACAAGGAAAATGAACTGATCAAGAATTCCTCCGTTTTAGTTTAAACTGCGGTATCCGTACGGACCTCATGCATAATCAAAGAAGATAAGATGATAGTGAGCTGATGGACGAAATTATTGCCTTTGGGACAATGATGCAAAAGTTTGGTAATGCTATAGAAATCAAGCAAGACTTTCTAGCAAGTGGGCCAATGACAATTTACGTAACTAATTAGCTTTCCCAGTGAAATAAAGTTCGAGGACTAATAAGTCCAAATTTATTTAGTGACGGTACAATGAAAAGGATTATTTCCATTGTATAGCCAAATAGCTCTCCAATAAATAAATAAATAATGAATTTTTTGTTCCGTGCTATCCCCACATGCCACTTTTTGCACAGAATAAAAGACGAACTCAATCATGATTTAATCGTTTACTTATGAAATTTAATCATGGTCCAGAATCACACTCATTGGATGTGCGACATCCGATTGAACCGTTATGAAAAATCCTGCTCGAAAAATTATAGAAATATTATAGAAAATAACGTTTGAAAATAATATAAAATCATTTCTAACGCCTCCCTTGACGATTTAAACCTCCCTCGATGTTTTAGTTTTTTTTTTTTTTTTTTTTTTTTTGAGAATTTCTATGTCTGTTGTGTAAAATACATTGTCTTTGGCTTTTAGAGAAAGGCATGGAAAACACTTTAGGATAAATGATCTCTAGACACTTACATTTGATAATGTAGCTTCAGGAAATTCTAAAATGCCTTCTTTCTCTTTGGCTTTTTCTAGAACAGATCATGATTGAACCATGATCGGATCAGATCATGTTCCAGAACATCTGGTCCGTGCGAAAAGAGATGCCTTTAGTTTTTCTGGAAAGACTCAGTAGAGACACCTGCTAGCTTCTCTTTTCATTTTCCTTACTACACCGCTAAAATGCTCTATGATTTGGCTACTGGTCATGCACCAACCTTTGAAATACATTTCACACAGATGAGACAAGGCCCGTTCCTGGTCGTTTTGTCCCCAAGTATGATTCCTTCAATCAAGCACAAATAATTTTGCCTGTGACTTGTCATTTGTCACTCAATAACAGCACTGGTTTCTTACAGTCTCTGGGACTAAGTTCTTTTTCACGATCGTAGTCCCCCTTTAAGCTGTAGCTACTTTGAAGCTTGAAGATATTTTGGAAACACTTACTTCAGAGAGGAAAAAAGAAAATAAAAATAAAAATAAAAACTCATCGAAGATTTGGATATTTAATCATTTACGAGAAATGCTTAATTTGGAAGATAATTGTATAGTCTTGGATCTTATCTGTTGATTGTGTCTGTAATCTGACAGACGGAATTACTTATGAGCAGGAAGATACATCTGCAAAATTTGCTGCTGTTTTAGTTGCTGATACTGAAGCAAAATCAATAAAACCGTCTAAAAAATAAATGAAATACCAACTACGAAACGTACATGGTGATAAAATTATAATCTTTCTTTGGTGACATTGAAATCATTAATGTTTGAACAAAGCAGATTTGTGCATTTGGAAGAAATGTAAAACGGAAAATATCAGAACTCAATTCCTATGAGTTTCTAAGTGAAACAGTTCTTCAAAAAATGAAATGCATCACAAGATATAGAATATCAGCAGTGCAATTTACCTGGAGCCAACATGCTGATTCTCTACTTTGCGCAGATTGGAATCAGAGTGAATGATTATAATCCTGCAAATGTGAGGAATTCCTATAGAAGTTCGTGACAAAATATGACGAATATTACCGTGAAATTGTAATATATGACTTAGAAGGAAAGAAGATATGGATTCATAATGCCTTAAAATGTTGCATGAATGGAAGAATAGATAACCATCCATCCGAAAAAGAACCATGTAGTCTTCTCCATGGAAAATGAAAATATTCTCGAATTGCAGAAAATTTGTATGGATTCATACATGCATTATATTTCTTCGCTGAAAGAATGAAAGATCACCTGATTGGGAAGCGAAATCGTGGGAAGAGGATATGGTCTTTGATTACAGTCAAGATCATTAACTGCTCATGTACTCTTGAGAAAGAATTATTGCTTGCGAAACCATGAAGTTGTGCCAATCCACCCCAAGCTGATCAGCATCACTTGGCACTTAAAAAAGAGAATTGAATTGTATGATACCATCAATATCTATATGAGCTACATTGGTAGATTATAGATAGAAGGAACTCAAAAGATGATGATCCAATTTATGAGAGCCAGCTATAAAAGAGTTGTCATCTAGGACATCTTTCATGTTTGCAAATCAATGTGAGTGAAAAGTGCATTTCAATGTGTTTATGGGTTTTAATCCTAGTTAATATACATAAATCTCAAATAACTAAAGCCCTGAGCTAACTTGGGCATATCATTGGTTCTTATTACTACATCTGCTAGGCCATCTCTTGAGGATTTGGTATCTCATTTTCTGGACAGTTACTGACGTTTGCTGTGACCAAGGGATCTCTATCCTCCAAGTGTTGTGATTTGTTTCTTTCTACCCAATGCCAAATTTCCCCAAGGAATGGAAGTTTGTCGTAATCTCTATTCTTGAACGGTCTTTCAAGCTTGGCTTGAGTAATGCTTTCATTTTGACGTGGTGAGACTTGGAATGAATGTGCATTTGCAAAATTGATGGTCCCCAGACTTGGAATGAATGTGCATTTGCAAAATTGATGGTCCCCTCTTCTCCTCTAGAAACTAAAAGAGAAGAAAATATAAAAAAGTGAACTCATCAGGTAAAAGAATATGACTTAATATGCAATTATGGATGGGTGGAAGTTATGATAAGTAGACTACAAAATGCAGAACATGGTTTGGCCCTTATACCTTCAATAGGCATCGAAATCTTTTTGCAACCAAGGAAAAGAAATGGAAATATTGTAACTCTCAAAGACAGGGCGGAGGCACTAGAGGCTCTCTTTAAAATGATGGCAAGAGGCAACATCGGAGAATCTTCATAGCCCCTTGTCTGAAAGTACAGTCATATCAGCATCCAGATCATAGTGCAAAAGTAACATTCATAATATCATCTGGAAAAGAAGTCAGAATTCAGTTGTATGAACATTAATCTTAGTTACATTGCAATGAATCCTCGATGAGAAAAATAAACACAACTACATTACATGAGTAGATAAGATAGACATAAAATGTTTTACCATCTCTGAAGGACAATTGAGGATAATAGCGAGCTAGGCTGAAGTATCTCCACAAGAAAATCCAGGCAGCCCACCTAAGAAGGTCGATGCAATATTTTTTTTTGCCTGAAACACAAATAACTTAGCAGTCAAGCCTACTGAGTACTAGACAAAGAAATATCACAGTTCACTATAGAAAATGCCTTTTCCATATCAAATTAAAAAAAAAAAAAAAAAAAAGCTGCAGATAGGAATAAAAGATTGAGATACAAAGTCAAAAACAAATTGAAAATAATGAGCCAGCAATTTAGATCAAGGCAAACCTACTTACTTGAGCAGAGATAGTTTGACTATTTAGACGACTAAGAAAATTCCATGGATGAGCATAAGGGTCCATGATTTCATCAAATAAACTCAATTTGAAGTTCAAAAGGAATATAGTTTCACGCTTGAAAGTAGGAAAGAATATGCAAGCTTCCTTCTCCTCTTGCTCTTTTGGACGGAACCCCCTATGAGCCATGACAAGCATTTGGAAGATAGCGCCCCCACAAAATAAACAATAATCCTAGTCATTTGCTGAAGCAATATGTAGAACAAACTAAGAACAGAGAAACTTTAGGACTCAATTAGAGAATTCTGCAAATACTATGAGTTTCAACATTTGAAACTTGCATCAAAAGCAAGGATTCGGAATGATAGATGGTAATAACAACACCAAGAAAAATGAATGGCTATAAAAAGCACGGAACATGGACCACCTGAACCCCTCGTGTGCTTATAAATTGTTTTAGCACCCACTCATAGTTTTGCAGTAGTTTTGCTGCAGACGACTAGACCACCTAGACACCCAACAAAATAGGCAATGAACAGAGCGATAACAACATTTGTGGTAAAGTAAATTGATTTTTTCAAAGACAACATAATCAATTAAAACTCAAACAATTTTTTTCGTAAAGAATTATATACAAACATGATAATGCAGACTGTTCTGTAAATACTATGTTGTTTATGTATTTAGTACCACCAATAACAATCAGTTGAATTTACCTGGGGCCAGCATTCTAGTTACACTACTTTCATAGTTGATGACACTCGAAATTTGTATCGAAGAACAAAAAGATCATAATCCTGTTAGCATTTGCTTAAAATTAATAACAAAATATGCTCCGAAATATTGATTAATGACTTACTACAAGGAAAATAGTTTAAATATAGTAATACCTCTGCATGTTGGATTAAATTGATCTTCTCCCTGCTAATATATGTTCAGGGCATGTGAGGAATTTTGGGCCAATCTTCCTAAGCTCCCTTTCATACTTCTTTTCCAGAAATGGACATAGCCAGATAGTTAGGGAAGAAAGAGAGGGGAGCAGCCACTCTTCTGGCGTGGACTGGAGCTCAAGGCAGTTCATGATTATTAATTCTCTAAGAGATGTGAGGTGTTGAAGGCCTTTGTAGTTCAGAGATTTCAGGTTTCTAAGTGTCTTGATTTCAAGATGGGTGAGACTTGATGGCAGCAGGGTCTCATCGGGGAAGCACTCCACATCGTCACTGTCCGAAATTGAAAATCTTAAAAGAGCAGGAAGTGATTGCAAATTCCATTGTGTACGGCCAGCAATGAGTTTGTTGCAACCCCAAATCGCTAGTCCTTTAAGCTTGGAGGGCAAACCCCTCCTGGAAATGACTCAAGTTTTGGGCAATGAAATATTGACAATTTCTCAAGAGAAGGCAGAAGTGAATGCATATGCTCAGGCAATGACTTCAAATTTGAGCAATACCATAACTGAAGCTCTGTCAAATATGGGGCAGGAAACCTTCCTTTGCTAAAAGATACCAAATTAGGACAACTACCAATAGTAAGAGATTCTAATTTAGGGAAAGAGTCTAGTGGGAAACATTCAATCTCAAACTGCTCACATACCCCGATATCAAGTTTGATTAAAGAAGGAAAGTGAGTAAACAGGGCCTTCTTCAGGTTGGGGCAACTTCTGATATAAAGCTCTTGGAGGAGAGGTAGAGAAGAGTTTCCAACCCAATCTGGAAATCTTGTACCTCCATACTCATTAATTGAGAGAATTTTGACATTCACATGAGGTTGTAGTTGCTCAAGTACCATTTCATGCACGAGTGAATTATCAATATCACCATCCCATATTAATTCCAACTTCTCAAGGTGCTCTTTACTCTTCAACTTGGCTTCGAGAGCATCTCGAGCGCCTGTGACATTTTGAAGATTCCAAATAGAAAGCGCACCACGCAGATGCTGAAGCTTGCCCAACTCTTTAATGCTAGAACCACTTTGTTTTCCCAAAAAGAAATCAGTTAATTTTTGAAGCTTTGTTAGGCTACCCATTTGTCTTGGCATCTCTAGCAATTTAGTGTGTTGAATATCAAGATGACGCAAGTTGATTAAGCTTCTCATGTTAACTGGCAACTCAACAAGCTTAACACAAAAGTGCAAGTTTAAAGTTTCCAAATTATATAAACTGCACATTGATTCGGGTAGCATTATAATCTCTGTATGAGAGAGATCAAGGTACCGTAAGTGCTTCAAGTTGCCAATTGAATCAGGCAACACAGATATATCATGAAATGGGTGCAAAGATAGAACTCTGAGGCACTTGAGGGCTGGCAATAAATTACATATTACCCCAACTTGTTGTGTCAGGTGTCTTGGCCAACCACCCAGACATAGCAAGGTGCGCAACAATTGGGGCTTCTTGATTGCCTTGAATGTCTGACAAGGGTCATCTCTAGTTGCTCTGTAGGATAAATGGCAAGTTCTTTCAGTAATCTTGCTTGAATCATCACCTTCCAGCCTGAAGCAAAATTCTCCAGATGCAAGCCTAGCTAAATCATTAATGAGGTCATGCATAATGAACAATGATGAACTGAGACTTGATGGCTGAAAAAATGACCTTGCCATTAGCTCATTGAAGTACTCATTGCCTATTTCTTCCATCTCATTATTTCTTTTGGGTTCCACCAAAAAGCCTTCTGCCATCCATAAAAGGACTATTTCCTCCCTTTTGAACTTATAACCCTTTGGAATTATTGCACAATAGGAAAAGCATCGTTTTAAATGCGATGGGAGATAGTGATAACTCAACTGTAGAGCAGACAGAACATTGTCATTTGGTAATTCCCAAAAATTACTCTTTAGTATCTTCATCCACTCCTCCTTATCTCTTTTGGAGCATAGAAGACTCCCAAGTGTTTTTGCAGCCAAAGGTAGACCGTTGCATTTCCTCGCTATTGCTCTACCAATTAATTCCAACTCTGGATGTGCACTGATATTTCCACCATAAAATGCATGTTTTGACAACACCAACCAACAATCATCGTCAGATAATTCATGCATATAATGAGTTGAAACAGGGGTGATTGATGCTACATTTTCATTGCGTGTTGTAACTATAATTTTACTACCTTGTCTCACGGATATGAAAGGTTTAAGTAAAAACTCCCACTGAGATTGGTTATTGCTCCAAACATCATCTAGAACAAGTAACACTTTGTTCCCTGACAATATCTTCTCTAGCTCACAATGAAGTTGATCTTCAGTCATGTTATCACAATTCATTGAACCGACCCCCTTAAGAATATCTTTTGTTACTTTGAGAACATCAAATTCTTCCGAAACATAAACCCATGCTTTGAGATCAAACGAATTCTTCAAGCTTCTGTCGTTGGAGACAACCATTTCTTTGTAGAGCAGCTGAGCGAGGGTGGTTTTTCCAACCCCTCCCATACCCACTACCAGAATCAGATCTAGGTGCCGGCTTTTTGTATCATTTGATAGCAGCAACTTCATTATAACTTCTTTGTCAGCAGCTCTTCCATACACGCCAGATTCATCTACTAAAGAAGTTGTTGGTGTTCTCTGCAATGATGGTTTTTCTCCGATGCTCTCTATCAGACCAAGGACATCCTTTTGCCCTACTATTTCTTCTAAAGTCCGAAGGATCTTTTCTAACTCTATTTGCACCTCTTTCACCCCCTTTCTACATGGAATAAGAGAAGAGAGAAAGCTTCGAACCTGATCCATGCAAGTCTGACTTTGAGGTTCAGCTGCCAGCTTCAACTGCAAAGCTTTATAAGCAATGTCATCGAAGAAGTCATCCGCTTGATAGACAGCATCCTTGAGGTCATTGAGCCACTCTTTCACAGCTGAATCAGTAATCTGCTTCTCCTCTGCATCATTGAGCAGTTTACTAACAGCTCTCATCCTCGCCTTCAACTTCTTCAGCTGTTCATCGTCGAGCTTTTGGCCCTTGAAGAAGTCCCTAACCACAGGAGAAACTATCCTCTCAATCAAAACATCAAGAACGGCAGACAGAATTGATTCTCCAATCAATGCCAGAGCCATTTCCCCCTCTTTGAAAAAGCTGTACAACTAACATAGACGCAGCAAAAGTAAACGAACCAGAAAGAACAAGGATACAAGATTATGCAGGCATTCGAATCAAGATATTGATCAATTAACTCTTTTACAAAGGATTTTAATAAAAAAATTATTCACCTAGATGGTTTTAGTCAAATAATTCATTAAGTAATTTATAATATCAATTCACATTATTTATCTAATAATACACATGAATTGCTTCCAAGATATCAAATATCCTAAGAACAAAATAATAATAATCAAATCCCCCAAACCCAAAACATGAAAATCCTTATCATGGGTTCCTTTAACAGAACTTTCGATATCCCATCAACAAAAAAATAAAAATAAATAAATAAAAAGATTGAGATACAAAATTCAAGAACGAGTAGAAAAACTGAGACAACAAGGTAAATCATGGAAAACAGGGCTTACTTGAACAGAGACAGCTAACAGGTTGCAGTAGTATATAGATGACTAGGAAACTAAATTCCAAGGATGAGTGAGAGGATTCCTGATATCATCAAGTAAAGACTTTGATGAAGCTCAGAGATAATCCACTTTCGGACTTGAAAGTAGAAACAGTAGACGATGACAGTAGGCAGTTGAAGAAGTAGTATGTCAGAGTAAAGCAAGTAGAGAAATTCTTGGAGCAAATTTCAGAGTTCTTCAAACGCTTCGTTTTCAACGTCTCAATGCAAAGATAGGGAAAAAGGTTTTACCCAATTACTCATCATCCCTGTACTTTTTCAATTGTTTTGGTTGAGTCCTTCTATTGCTTTTTGGTTTAACTGAGGACCTACGTAACCTCTCTATTCACTTAGATTGAAAATGATTGAGATGTGTGCTTTTATAATTACAAATACAGTGAATAATTAGAAAATTAGAGAAGTTAGATTTTTAATTTCAAATAAATGAAATCAAAATAAAATTAACAAAAGTATTTTAGAGACCAAAAAAAAAAAACCCTAACCTGAAGATAGGTCAATCCTGGCCATCTACAAAACCAATATGTCAAAATCTCTGTTTTTTATTCCTCTAATTTGAGTACAAGCTATAACAGTCACAATTTACATAGGCCTAAATGTTGGGGTTCCCTTGCATTGATAGTTAACTTTGGCAATCCTAATGGCATAGGGGAATCAGAACGAGCAAGACTGTAATAACAACTTGGAGGAGAAAATGACCAAAACCTTTGGTTTCTTCTGATAAGCAAAGGAATATTACTAAGCTCCAATCAACAAGCTGAAGAAACTTATTCTTCATATATATATATATAAGCACAAGCTGAAGATTTTATTTCGTATAATTTCTTTATTACTTTATTACGAAAACACCAAATTACTCAGTAAATACAAATATATTCTACTGTACTACATATAACAGTCTTGATGAAAACAATATTGTAAGCCTTCATCTCCTCCGCTCACTTATGGTGGAGCCCAACATTTGAGCCATGCCAAGCATCACAAACGATACAGTATAGGCAAATCCTTCAAAAGCAGCAATTTAGAAGATACTTCAACGGACCATATATGATATCATCCTGGACATTTGCAGAACCAATATGTCAGAATAGAGTAAGAAGATAAATGTCATTTGAATACAAGCTATAATAGCCACCAGGCAGTGCAATTTACCTGGTCCAAACGTTCAGAAGGTCATGGATTCATGTTGCTATGTCTTCCTGTCCCTGCTCTGAGGATTTCCTATCTCGCTTTTTCTGAACAGTCACTCGAGCTTGATTTGACTAATGTTTAAGTTCAACAAGGGGAAACATTCAGAATGACTATGCCTTCGCAAAATTGATTGGCCTCCTCTTTCCACATGGTAACTAAGAAATGTGCCTGGTCCATACGTTCGGATTCTGTAGCTTTCATATCAACTTGGAGAAGAAAATAAATAAAATCCTGCCAGGAATTCACAGAGAATTTAGAAATAAAATATGCCAAACCTTACTTTTAAATTATATGATTTATTTATAAATTCAAAAAGGAAAAGAAATATAGTTTCCTGGTACCTTAGCCTGTTGGATGAAGTGCCTTGTAGCCCAGAAATTGGAATTAGGAGTAGTGATGCCAAAGCATGTTGGAAGAATAAAGTTTTTGGCTCAGTTGATATTCTTGTAATCAATCTCTATGGATGGAATGTGAGAAATCTTGGGCCAATATTCCCCCGTCTCCTTTTCACACTTTTTTTCCAACAAAGGGCACCCACCGATGGCAAGATAAGTAAGGGAGGAGGGCAGCCCCTCTTCTGGCATGGACTGGAGATTAGGGCAATCCCATATATAAAATTTTCTAAGAGAGGTGAGGTGGTGAAAACCCTTGTATTCCAGAGATTTCAGATTTTCAAAATTCCGGATTTTAAGAGTCGTAAGAGTCGAGGGCAGCAGTGTCTCTTCAGGAAAAGATACCGCATCTTTATAACCAGCAATTGCTAAAAGTGACAGAGAATGAAGTGATTGCAGATCCCATTGCATGTGGTTTGCAATGAGTTTGTTGCAATCAAGGATCGTAAGATCTTGTAATTGGGAGGGCAAACCACCTTCTGGAAAGGACTCTAGTTCTGGACAGTTTAATATTAACAATGTCGCAAGGGAAGGGAGGACAGAATGCATATGCTGAGGCAAAGACTTCAAATTTGAGCAACTATCTAAATAAAACACCGTGATATTTGGGGCAGGTGATGCTCCTATGCTAATAGATAAGTTAAGGCAGTTACTGATACCAAGAAATTCTAATTTAGGAAGCCACTCTAATTGGATGCACTCAATCTCAAGCTGCTCACATCGCTCAACAATAAGTGTTGTTAAACAAGGAAAGCGAGTAAACAGAACCTCCTTTACGTTGGGACAGGATCTTATGTAAAGCGCTTGGAGGAGAGGGAGAGAGGAGTCTCCAATCCAATCTGGAAGTCTTGTACCCCCATACCCATCAATGATGAGCCGTTTCATGTTTTCATGAGGCTGTAATTGTTCGAGTACTCCTCCTTGTACTTGTGAATTATCACTCTTACCCCAATATAAACCCAACGTCTCGAGGTGCTCTTTACCCTTCAAATTGGCTTTCAAGGCATCTTGAGCGTCCGTCACAAATTGAAGATTCCTAATAGAAATGCGTCCACGTAGATGCTGAAGCTCCCCCAACTCTTTAATGCCAGAACCACTTTGTTTTCCCACATAGAAATCAGTCAATTTTCGAAGTTTTGTAAGTTTACCCATTTGCGGTGGCATCCCTTGCAAAGTCATACCTCCAATATCAAGATGACGCAAGTTGATTAAACTTACTATGTTAGCTGGCAATTCAACAAGGTTCCCACAACTGCATAAGATCAGAATTTCCAAATTATGCAAACTGCAGATTGATTCTGGAAGCCTTGTAATCGTTGAATGAGAGAGATCAAGATAGCGTAGATGCTTCAAATTGCCAATTGAATCAGACAGCATAGATATATCTTCATTCAATAACATAGATAACACTCTTAGGCGCTCGAGTGTCGGCAACAAATTACATAATACCTCACTTTCCAGAAATTTCAAATAAAAATTTGGTGGACTCATCAAGGTGCGCAGCGATTGGGGGGCACAACCGCCTTCAAATGACTGAAAGGAGTCTTCTTTAATTGTTCTGTACGTCAAATGGCGGATTCGTCTCTTGCTCTTTCTTGGATCACCATCCTCCAGTTGCATGCAAAATTCTCCGAACACAGATCTTGCTAAATCATTTATGAGGTCATGCATGATGAAGCGTGATGGGCGGCAACTTGATGGCTGAAAAAATGACCTTGATACAAGATCACCAAAGTACTGGGTGCCTATTTCTTCCCTTTCATCGTTTCCTTTTGGTTGGACTATGAATCCTTCAGCCATCCATAAAAGGACTAATTCCTCTTGCGCGAACAGGTGACCCTTAGGAAACATAGCACAATAAGTCAAGCATCGTTTTAGATATGGTGGAAGATAATGATAACTCAATCGTAGAGCTGAAAGAACGTTGTCATTTGGTAATTCCCACAAATTGCTTTTCAATATCTTCCTCCATTCCTTGACATCTGTTTTGGAGCGCAGGAGACCTCCAATGGTTTTGGCAGCCAAAGGTAGGCCATTACACTTATTCGCAATTTCTCTACCAATTTCTTCCACCTCCGGATGTGCATTGAAATTTGCAGCACCAGAAGCATGTTTTGACAATAACAACCAACAAACATCATCAGTTAATTCCCGCATGTGATGACTTGAAACAGTAGAACAGATTGATGCAACATTTTCATTGCGTGTTGTCACCAGGATCTTACTTCCATTACCCACAGAGTTGAAAGGCTTCAGTAAAAACTCCCAGTGATCTTGATTATCGCTCCAAATATCATCTAGAACAAGCAAAACTTTGTTCCCCGTCAATTTCTTTTCTAGCTCGCAATGAATCTGATTCTCAGTCATCTTATCAAACTCATCACCCTTCGCTGAGCTGACCTCCTTAAGGATATCTTTTGTAACCTTAAGGATGTCTAATTCTTCCGAGACATAGACCCATGCTTTGAGAGCAAACGACTTCTTCAAACTTCTGTCATCTGAGACAACAAATTCTTTGTATACAAGCTGAGCCAAGGTGGTTTTACCCATCCCACCCATACCCACAATGGGAATCACATCCAGTCGTCTGCCTTCTGCATCATCTGACAGCAGCAACTTCATTATGACTTCCTTGTCAGCATCTCTACCATAAACACCAGATCCATCTACCAGCGAAGTTGTTGGTATTTTCTGTGAGGATGGTTTTCTTCCGATGCTCTCCACCAAACCAAGTGCATCCTTTTGTTGCAACAAGTCTTGAAGAGTCTGAAGAATCTTGTCTAACTCTGGTTGCATCTCTCCCATCCCCTTCTTACATGGAACAAGAGAAGTGAGAAAGTTCTGCACCTGACCTGAGCAAGTCCCACCTTGAGGTTCGGCTTCAAACTTCAACTGCAAAGCTTTATAAGCAATCTCGTCCAAGAAGTCATCAGCGTCATAGAAAGCATCCTTGAGGTCGTCAAGCCAATCTTTCACAGCTGAGTCAGTAACCTGCTTCTCCTCTGCATCATTCAGAAGTTTTCCAACTGATCTCATGGTTGCCTTCAACTTCTTCAGCTTTCCATCGTCAAGCTTTTTGCCTCTGAAGAAGTCCTTGATCTCGGATGAAGCTATTCTGTTGACAAGAACTTCAACGACAGCAGAGAGCAGTGATTCTCCGATCAAAGACATGGTTTCTCCTGCCAGGGAAGGATGCTAATTGTGAAAAGGAAACTGAATCTGAAACTGAAGAAAGGAAAAGCTAAGGAAAGTAGCGAAGAACAAAGAGAAGAGATTTGGGATTAGTTTTGATGAAAGAACTTGCAAAAATAGTTTGTCTGCTTTCGGCTTAAAGATTCCATTCGGGTAGACTTAGACTTCGCTTGGAAATTATTGTGGAAGTGGGACCCCCAGGCATTAAAAAGGGGTTTCTACGAATGGACAAAGCATCTCCGCGAGGTTTGAAAAATAAATTATTGGGCTACTTTATAAGATTATTCATATCCATCATGGACCAGGTGAGACTAGTTTGGTATGGTACAGGTTCAGACCAGGTTCAAAACTTATATGCTTATGCTGTTTCGAATCCAGCTTGGCCCATTACTGCTATTCTATTTCCTGGGCTGCTATATGGGCCTATAATTTGATCGGAGCCTGACTTAGTGACTTCATATATAATTTGGGCTTTTGATCTGTTTCAACTTTCAGGAAAACTAAATGAGCATTCTACTAAAGTGGGCAAGGCCTCTCCTTCCTCTAAAGAACACCTCCTGAACAATTCCGTATTTTTGGTTTTTAGAAGTAAATTAATTAGTCATTCTTGTTTCCAAAATTAATTATTTAATCAGTTTTGATCAGATTTAATTTAATATTATTTTATTTTTAAAAAATATTTTTTTTCCTTCATTTTTTCCGTAATATCTTTTTATGTCTTCCTTTGTTTATTTCTTTAAAACCAAAAATTAGAAAAGAACATAAAATAGATTAAAAAAGGCTAAATAATTAATATTTGAAATAGAAATGACTAATCAATTTTTTTCTCAAAACTAGAGGGACTCATTTATAATTTACTCTTTTGGGTTGTTAATTGTATGTGAAAAACTGAAAATTATATAGGCAACGCTTCTTTCCCTCCCCCTTACTTTTTCTTTTCTTTTCTTTTTTATTAATCCCAAATCCAATTGATAGATATTATTTCTTTAAGAGAAGCTTTGAGAATGATGAACCAGGTCCCGTTCCAAGGTCAACCCATTGAATCAGAAAATTCAATGGAAGCAATAACTGCCATTTTGCAGTAGCAAACTTGCTCAATTAAATCTAATTAGTGTAAAAATCAATTATGTTATTAGCAAAACAACCTTGAAATGCAAAACTCTATCAGGACATAACAGACACTGTGTGTAATGAGAAGAGCACAATATTATCTTTATTGGATCAAGTACCAATTTGCTGGGAAGAGTAGGATAGAAAGCTTTGATGGTTCTGGAAAAATATAAAGCTGTTAAGGAAGCAAGCATGCTCTGAGAGACTTAGTGATGAGCAATGCACTTACTAGCGTCCATGCCCAAATATAGTAAAAAGCATGCTCTGGATCACCTAAGCTGCCTGTTCCTCAAGTTTCATATCTGCATGCTTGTCTCTTGCTAGTACAATGAAAAGTGTTCTTTCTACAATTGAATGCCCTATCAAAGTCATCAGATCATTCTATTGCTCTTCGGTTCTTACTTCAGGAGCCTATCTAACACAAATGGCATCAGTTCTTCTTATTACCACTATCTTATAAATACCTCTTCTAGCACTGATCAGAAAAATGCACCAAAATGGCGTCCTACATTGCTTTCGCCTTGTGTTTTATTGTGTTTCCGGCATTCTTCTCTGCCACTAATTGCAAATTCTCTGAACAATCCCCTATAACCTTAACCATGAAAGGCATGGAGAAAAAGACCAGCCTGCACTTCTACTTCCATGACATTCAGAGTGGAGAAAACCAAACATCTACAGAAATTGCTCAGCCTCTAAAAATGACGGCAGCTGGCAACTTGTTTGGCAGCACTTTTATGGCAGATGACCTGCTGAGAGAAGGGCTAGAACCAACTTCGAAGCTTGTAGGAAGAGCACAGGGAATTTATGCTTTTGCTTCTCAACATAATGCTGCGTTGCTTATGGTGATGAATTTTGCTTTTGTGAATGGTATCTAAAATGGCAGTTCCTTAAGTATTCTTGGGCGGAATGCCATCTTTGATAATGTGAGAGAAATGCCAGTTGTTGGAGGTAGCGAGGTTTTCCGGCTTGCTCGAGGCTACGCATTCGCAAAGACATTTTCATTTAATCAAAAGACAGGAGTTGCTGTCATTGAATACAATGTGTCTGTTGTTCAATTCTGAATGTTTCGTATCAGTTTGTCGTACTTCAAGGTTTTCATTTTGTTCCTATCTTTTCTTTATTTTACCTAGTTCTGCTTGCTGAATATTTTCAGTGTTGTAGCAATGAAACCCTGGTATTTGCTTGTATGTTCAGAATGGTACTATTCCCTAGCATGGTGTCTGAGAAATTTCTGTCTTGCATGAAAACTCATTCCTACCGGCTGCACTATTTTTTAATCCTATAGCTAAATTTGATGCTAAGTCCAGTCTGTAGACCGGGGAATTTGGTGTGTACAGGTCAGAATCATGCACTTTCGAACTACAAAAACGATTCCAAGATCTTTTGACAGAATAGAACAAAGAATTGTGATAGAATTCTGAAGTAGGAAGATCCAACAGAGTTTAAAATGACTAATTTCTTCTTGAAATGAAGCTTATGTCTACAAGCAGGCAAATGACAGGGCGCAGTGCTACGATAAGATGGGCAGTGTAAATATTCTGCTTTGGGCAGGATTCAACATTCAAGATTTCTCAGAAAAGAAAAAAAAACTCGTTATTTTAGTCAAAACCTTCATTACCGTGAAATAATCGTTCCAGCTATTTTCTATTCCCTATTACTGAAGGTTTGCATATCACAGAACATGTAGCAAATGGATGCAAGATCATTACAAGACTACAATTATAAGCTAGTTCTGAAACTTAAAATGATTCTTTCTTCTTGTGAAAATTGTAATCATAAACCCATATCACTACAATTGGAAGAGCACTTCAACTTTTTAAAGCCAAGTTGAAAGATTCAGGTAAAAGTAAAGTAAGCTTTGATGGCATTGGCATTCCCCAACATAAGGCTGCAAAACCTTGATTGTAAAGCAAGCATGCTCTGACTGACTTGGCCTATTGGCCATGTTCAAAGCACTTGCTGCTAAGCATTATGATTGCTTCTTCAATGATTTTATATTCTCCAGAATCCCTCCAACCACAAATTGAGTACTCCTAATTGCATATATTATCGATTAATCTTTTTTTTAATTTGATAATGAGCAGTGTATGTGTGTCATATTTAAGTAAGAAAGCTTAATCATGTTTGCTGGCTGAACCAGCTGAGATAGGGTAGCCTACTTAATTAACTTCCCTAAATGCTGAAGAGTACTACACGTTCCATTATTCAGGAAATTTGAGGCCCTCTCAAACTCATCAATATGACTCTCTACTATCACTTTGTTTCTTGCTTTTGATGCAACACCAAGTTCAAGTTATGATTACTTTGCCTCATGAACCCACTTCCACAAGCCAATCTCACACTACAATATTCATCAATTCTTGCTCACAATCCTATATATAGCCTCTTCTAGCATTCCTCAACATAGCTCATAAAAAGTATACCCCTATGGCTTCTTTTCTTGTTCACATTCTTCTTCTCTTGTATGTCACTGTCATCTTGGCATTTTCCGGCACTACTAATGGCAAATTCTCTGAGCAATCCCCTATGATCATATCTGCAAAACGCATGGAGAAAATGACCCGCCTGCATTTCTACTTCCACGATATCCCCAGTGGGAAAAACCCAACAACCGTGAGAATTGCTGGACCAGCAAAGACAAAAGCTGGTGGCTTTGGCAGGACTTTTATGGCGGATAATCCATTAACAGAAGAGCCAGAACCTACTTCAAAACTCGTGGGAAGAGCACAGGGCACGTATGCTGTTGCTTCTCAACATGAAACTGGATTGCTTATGGTTTTCGATTTTGCTTTTGTTGAGGGTATGTACAATGGCAGTGCCCTGATTATTCTAGGTCGCAACCAAGTCTTCGATGAGTCAGGGAAATGCCTATTGTTGGAGGTAGCGGGCTTTTCCGGTTCGCTCGAGGCTATTCATTGCTGAAGACAATCTCATTTAGTCCAAAGACAAAAAATGCTGTCGTTGAATACAACGTGACTGTTGTGCATTTCTGAATGTTCTTATTGTTAGTGATATCTGCAGTTTTCCTTTTATTTCCCCCATTATGTCCACTGCTACTACAAAGGAAGTATTTTGATTTTCCTATCAATGCTGTTCAAGAGTTCAGAATGAAAAATTCTACACTATCATTTGCAAGAAATTTGTGCTTTTTTCAGTTCTAACACAAGAAATTTGCAGGATATCTTGATTACAGTGTTGATGATTCTTTCTCGAATCCAAACTAACTTCAAGATTTGGATGTATGGAACAAATATCATCCAACTTCTATCAGAAAGAAATAAACAAATATCTACAAAGATTTAAATAAACAGAGAAAATGTTTGCAACTTTAAGTAGAACATCATGCAACTGCACATTAAAAGTTAACATCATTCTTTATACAAAGAACAGTAGCAAAATAAAAGAAAGCACACTCCCCATATGTTCGCAAATCTCTCAATCATACCTCCTGAATCTCCAAGCAGAGACAGAATAAAGCGGTCTATCCTGCCAGCAAATAAACAAACATCCATTTTCTTCTTTGATTTTATATCCATCATAGCCATAGCTCTGCAATAACCTGTTTGCCTGCAGCCTACCATGGTAGCTCAGAGGAATGCTCCCGAACCCAGCCAACTCAAGCCTTAGAATCCACTTCTCCAACTTCTCATGCCTCTCCTTTCTATCAGTTCCCTCACAAGCAATGATGTTCTTAATTTCCTCCCCAAATAGAATCTTTTCAACCTTATGCCGCTCTAATGATGCTCTTGATACAGTAGACTCCAAGCAATCAAATAGTGCAGCATAAAAATTCAATGCTTCTGTGACCCTCTCCATTAAAGTAAACCCATTATGATTTGATTCTTGCTCAGTTATCACCATCAATTTTGGTGAGAGACTCCTAAGTGCATTTAGAAAGCTGCCCATCTTCGGTGAAGCAGCAAGAGATAGTGGGGATAATGCTGAGTCAGGACTTGAGCTATAGACATTGACAAAATCTTTCTCAAGCCACTCACCTAGAGTACGTCGGTTTGGGTTAATCTTTAAAACTCTCTGAAAATGGTTAGAGCTTGGATTCTTAGATCCTGATGGAGAGTTCCTTCTATGCATCTCATCATCCATTGCCAGGAGAGTATGCAGCTGAAGTACAGAACTGACAGCAAGAGCTTCTCCAGTCTTAACACGCAAATTTTCAAGGTCAAGATTCTCTAGTTTGCTCACTATAGGATTAAACTGAAATGGGATGTCTAGCTTTTCAGCTTCTTCTGTTAACCGGAGAGCCATTTGCTCCAGCACCTCTTTCTGCTCATGAATACCTGTAATTCTCAGATGAGGCGGGCCCTCAGGCCGTGCACTTAATGTTTGAAGAAGATTAATCCACTGGGCAGGTTCAAATGAATTTAAATCAATGATATGAACCATCTTCTCCCCTTCCATAGCTTCTATAATAGCCTGATTTGTGATCACATAAGAAAGCTTTAAGAAGGGACAGAGCTCAAAGAATAATCTTTGAACATGAATTTCTTCAGATATCAAAGATGCTTGTTTTGGATTGAGAGCTTTGTGCAAACCAGGCCATCCTTTGAGAATGCGATCAGCAAGTGCTGCGGTGAAGTAAGCAGCAATTCGCTGCATGGTATCACCATCAGGAGAGGCAAGATGGGAGATGTGCTCAAGGCCAAGATTTGCATTCTCAACACTACCAGCCGCTACATGGTTAGCACAGCCAAGAAGAAGATGGATCAGACACAAACCCCTCTCCTCAGATTTCAGCTCCCTCAGCCAAGGGTATGGCGATCCTATCCCTGGTGATAGAGGCATCCACGGAAAGAACTGAAGAGGTGGTGAAGTTACAGATGATGATCCTTCTTCTTGAACCACTCCTACCATTAACAACGAGACCAAACTCACTACCTGGACAAAGAAATATGACATGAAAAGTAGTCCAGAATAATTCCAAATTTGATGAATTAACAGCATAACTTATTTCTTTGTCAAGATTGTGAATAATCCCACTGTGAAAGGGGAAAAGCACGAACAGAAAACACGGTCTTTTATGCCATGCAGTTTGGGTTTCCAAACGGCAACAACTCCCATCATCTTAGTAAGATTGTTGGATTAACCTCAGTTAAAAAGTTTAATCTCAAAAAAAGTATTGACTTTTTCCTTTCTTACATCTTCCAAATGACTAATAACAGCCTGTTAAAATATATGAATACACAAAAACACAAAATAGAAGGTGAAGACACTAGCACTCTGCTTCTAAGGTTCCAATGGTATTAGATGATTAAATTCGTATGAAAAAAAAAAAAATCCACGACACGAAATCTGAAGAAGATTAACACCCCTTGTTACTAAGAAATAGAGAAAAGTAAACAGAACTGGCCAAATAGCTTTGTAAAGCTAAATTCAGAGAACTTTTTTCTTAGCTTAGCAATGGAGAAAATTCAACTCCAACATTTTCTCTGTGACCAAACAGAAACAGTTAATTTTAGATAAAGATCATTCAATTCTTAAAAGTAAAACGTCAAGAACCCTCCAGCAAGTATCTTTCGCAATAATCACACTTAAAATTCAAACATTCCATTTCCCTTCTTTTCCCACACAATTTCTCTGCAACCAAACAATAGCAAGAAACCAAACTAAACAATGAAACACACAAAAGCAAGCTCTTTCTACAAAAACTCAAAGCAAGCTCAACTGGTTTATCTTTTGTTACACGAAAAAAATAAAAATAGACGGAAAAGCTCAATATTTGTGCTCAAAACATGAAACAGAGATGGGGAATTACCAGGGAGAATTCACTGGTTTCCTCCTGTGAATTACTGTTCAAAACCAGCAGTGAATCAAAATCCACAAATGGGCTTTGAAATTAACAAAAAACCCACGAAAACCCCTAAACAAAGCTTCAAGCTTGGTCCCTCAATTCTCCTAATCCATCAAAGTGAATAAAGAGCTCTCTGCTCTACTCTACTCTACAAAGGTTTCTGCTGGCCTAAGATTTTGTTTTCAAAATGAGCAGTGAAAGGGGAATTAAAGCTCTTGGCTTTTAGGGGACTTTCCATGTCTGCTTTAGAGACAAAACAAGTGGTTGTTTTTGTCACTACTTGTTTTGTTGTCCATTGGGGGGATCAGAGGGAATAATGGATTTTCTTGAAAAAACAGAGCCCCCTAGATTATCTCTCTCTTTAAATTTTGTGTTGTCTGTTTCTGTCTCTCTCTATAAGTCTTCTTGTCCTGTTGTGAAGTGGACGGGAATAAGAGCTGGCCGAAAACTCGTGTTTTATGCTCAAACGCAACAAAAATACAACGATGCCCCAACAAAACAAAACAACACCCTTCCTTGTTGCCTAGTGGGTGATAGTGGGGATTGCAAGGCAAATACCAACAAGTCCCAACAAAACCACCATTTGTTTCTTTTCGAAGGGCATTAGACCATTAGACTATCCACTTGGTTCTTTCTCCATGCATTAAGACAAAGAGACGAAGAGCCTGTGGAAAAAGCCAAAAGTAGATAGAAGTTTTTAACTTTAGTTGTGGAAACTTTGGTGGGAGTTCTTGGAATATCTAGTCCCATTTCTCGTTCACAATAAATGCTTGAGATACCTCCAATTCGGTCCCTAACCTTCATGCTTGTTCACACATGAGTTTCCAATCTTCAAAATCTTGCTAATTTCTCCCTTTAACCTAAGTTGTTCGAACTCGAATACATTCCTCGGGTACAAATACAAATCCTAATATCAGATTTGCCGAATTTTGAATCTTAGAATACAAATATAAAAACAACTTTTTCCGATTCGTAAACCTACATAAAATATTTGAAAAACCAATATTTTTATCTCGTTAGGTCCAACATTCTACACAAAATAACATAATTTCACAATCTAATTTATACTATATCTAAGCTCATTTGTATAATGCTAAAAGTGTTTGATTAGTTTTATTAAGTTGTATGTCATTAAAAAAACCTGAATACTATTTAACTATATCGACTTTTTTTTTTTTTGGTTCTTTTAATTTAATATGTAATGTCAATCTCTTAAATAATAATAATAATAATAATAATCTACAACGACTACAAGAGCAGAGGACAGTGAGCTTAAGCTACCAATTTTGTGCTAAGAAGAACTGATATACCAATGAACACGTTAAACCAACGACAGCTTAGGGACAAATTAGCAAGATTTTAAAGGATTAGGACTAATTTGTTAATAATTATATAAGTTGGAGCTAATTTGTTGTTAGCACTAAATGCTTTTTTTATTATAAATCTCATAAAATCAAATGCTCAAGATGGACCATGTAATTGTGCGGCTAGTGGTATACCACATCATTGTACTGTGATAAGTTGAATATATACGTAAGTGGAAGTTGCAACAACATTTATATGACACCCACTTACCTAATTGTTAATTGTTTTCTTCTTTTCTCCCTTTGGTTTTGTGATCTTGGTCTATTTAGTGGTAATGATGGAAGCAATGACCATTATCAATGACCTCCATTGGTCTATCTTTGATCCCCTTCTGTGTGAGTTCCTTGTTTGAGGGATGTTCCCATTGATGAATACTTTTGTATCTTTTAGAAAGCAAGTTCATCGAATCTACCCCCAAAACGTTTCATCTTCATTTTAGATTCACTTTTTAAAATATTATTGATATAGAATGAGTAAATCACCCATTTTGATTTCTTGTTGAATAAAAATGTTCGTATTGTTCCTTCATTGTTAAAAAATTTTGATTTTCGTATGTAGTGTTATATTCTATTCGAAGAAAAATAATTTTTTTATAACATGAAAGGAAAAATAACTAACCATATATTATTGCTTCATTCTATTTAGAAAGAGAATTAAGACCATGTAATATCATATTATTAAGTACTTTGTCTGAAAACAAAGGTATGTGTTAATTAATACCCATAAAAAAAATTAAGACCACGTAAAATCTTTTTATTCTTTTAGCAGTAATTAGTAGAAATTAATCGATAAGCTTTTAGTATAGTGATAATGAATTTTTTATATTTAAAAAAAAATCACATATTCAAATCTTTTTTTAAAATATTTGAGTTTAAAGATCAGAGTAATCTTTCATTTTTATAATAATAATCAATTTAGTTCATTATGGTAATATAATTCCTTCTCCAGCCCTTCTAATTATTAATTACTAACACTAACTTCTTAACATTTAACAACTAAATGAGTTGCAACCTGAACCCTAGAAGCTTATATTTTTAATTGTCTTTCATCAACTTTAGAAGCATATTACCATTGTATGATCTTATTAAGTTTGCCACCATGTTATCTCATATGCTGTTCACTGCTCACACCCTCCAGTCCAAATTGCCAAATATTGGAAGGAAGTCAGAGTTTTTATCAGAAATACAATCTTCAATAAAGAACTAAGTTTTTTCTTTTCGTTTCCAATTTGGTTTGGTAAAGAGGCACGATTTTGATTTTTCGATACAGAGGGAGAGAAAAGCTAAGGTGTCAAGGAATAAATACCAGCAACTTCACTAGACAAGATGTCTCCAAATGTCAGGCGAGGAAGATTTCAAATTCAACAAAAAAAATATCAATATTGATAGAAATCGTTGAATTTAAAGAAAATAATCAACTAAATTCAGATGTAATAATTCAAATATTATGTTTAATGCTACAAGATATTTATAAAATTTTATAACTTTATATATTTTTTTTAGATTTTTGGTGTGAGTCAGTGAGTGAGTTTTAATTTCTGATTTAAAAAACTATAAGTACCTTAATTTATAAATCGGATTACTTGACTGTTTATATTTTTAATTTTTATCTTTATTTTCCGCGTTATTCTATTTTTATTTATCCTCGAATATGGTGGAAAGAAGAGCAAATCCACCGTAAATATTCAACCTTGAGACATTTTTACACCTCAAAGGAAAGGAATGCTTGAATAGATCTGGAATTTCTTGGCTAAAAAAACAAAAACCGTGAGAGCAAAAATTTGACAAGTTTTCTTAAATTTGTCATATTTGCAACAGAAAATCAGATCATAAGTTGACTAGGTTTGGTCGTGTCGATCATATTATTCAAATTAGGTTGGTAGTGGGTCAAAAATCAAACAAAAACACTCACTAAATACAAATTTGAAATCAAGATATACATTAAGCATTTATAGGTGTACAATTTCAAGATCTAGTTATTATCTTTGATAGAGAAAGCTTGATTTTATGTAGAGAAACCCTTAATATTCTTTTGGTATTTCTTGCTTAGATTAGCTTTGTGGGATAGAGACCAAACAAAGAAAAAAAGGGATGGGGGGTTTTTTTCACCTATGAATGGTAGCTTCTTGTCTTGAACGGCTATCGGTCATAACAATGTAGAGTTGGGGGTGTTCTCAAGGGAATGCATTTAATTGCCCATTTTGTTTCCTAGCGTGGCCGGGCATGGTGAGCAAGAACTTTACCAAGAAAAGTTGCCTAAAATTCAGCTAAAACTAGGAGATTGTATTAGAGGAAGAGATTAAGACAAAACATGAAGGACCCACAAGGATAGGTGATGTGATGAAGGAGTTTGGCTGCTTCTTCTTTTTTTGGATAGATTTTCTTTATTAAGCTAAACAAGCTTGGCGGTGAAGGAGAAAGGAACATTTGACAAAAGAAAAAGGTTTGATGAAGAAGACAAGCCTTTTGTCATCAATTGATGGTCTAATGTTTTAGTCTTGTTTGGGAGCTTAGTCACGGGCTAGAATTTGCCAAAAACAAGACAAAATTTAACTCTTAGCCAAAGATCAAGTAGCTAATTACTTTGTTATTCTTAGCTTGGTATTGTTCATGAGAATCCTTAAAATAAATAATAAATAAATAAAAAAGAAGACATATTATTTTATTTTTTACCATTAACGCCATTAATGGAGAGATTT